TTGGGACACCCTAAATCTCTCAAGTGGCGACTCTGAAATAAATAAACCAATCCCGTTTCGATTTTCCTTTAATTGGAAAAACTCCCTTGCACCCTCGCGGGTGCGGAAAAAGGAGGTGCGACAATTACTGTGCGTGATTTGCTTTGGAAGATCTGGAAAATATTTAATTCCCCTTTTTAACGCATCTAAATAAGGAATCCTACAGCTATAATGATTCCTTATTTAATGCATTGTATATATTATGTAGAAATACTATTAGCATGAAAGGTAATATGCAAACTATGAATATATTTGACAATATAGTTTCCTATATGGTACAGGAACGAAAATTCCCAATTTTATTTTACCCAAATTTTACAAAGGAAAACTGCACAGTATAGTTGCTCTAAACAATAATAGCTCGCAAATTGTATATTTTTTTATTTATACATAATGTATAATATATATTGACGGCTGCAGAAAAAGAGATTAACAGAATTCCCCTACATTCATAAAATATCATTTTCCATTGGCAGAATGGCCTAAATGGCACCTATACTTGTGCCACTTTGTCATGCGGATCCTCCTACTTCATTTTTTTTCATCAAGACACTTTAACTTGTTCAAAATTAATATTTTAAACCCCTCTTACCGTTTGTGTATCTCACTTGCTTGACGTGGATGACACATCATATTCCACGTCATTTTTTAAATATTTTTTCTACTAAAAATATTTATTATATATTATTTTCTTAAAGAAAAAGAAAAAGAAAATCAATGCCTCCATCTCATCTCTCTTCCCTAAAATAAATTCACATATTACTTCTTCCTAGTAAATGTCAAAATTAAATGAAAATAGAACAAAATTAGTATTTGATAGCAACAATGGCCACTTTTAGTAAGAGATTTTCTAAAGCTTGTTGCTAACAAAAACATATGGCTAGAGTGCCGTAAAAATGGCCCAAAGAATATCCACCGTTTCTCATGGCCAAAGCACTACCGGAATTACCTCTCCCATGTTCAACATTGCAGAAATCGCCACTCTGTCAATCGTCTTGAGATCATGAAGCCAACTCTTGAAGAACCTAAGTGAATCACTAAGAGATGTTGAAGACCTTTCTCTTAAGTTTTCCATTGATGTGGACTTCAAAGCCAATGGGGAACTTGATATGGCAAGAAGGCAGCAGGAACTTATGGAGAAAACTCTCCCGGAAAGCTAATTCAATTAGCNGGGAGGAACAGAATATCCCTTTTGCTTCTTTTTTTCTTATTTATTTTTTATTCTTATTTTAATGATTTTTTTCTTTTTATTTTAATTATTTCTGGTTCAAAATATTCATATTCATGCTCCTTATTCGTGTGAATTACACCCACTTTGTCCAGCTCAACCATTATTTTGACACATGTGCTTGGTCAGTCAGAGGGGTTTAAAATATTAATTTTGAACAAGTTAAAATGTCTAGATGAAAAAAAAGTGAAATAAGAGGACCGACATGACAAAGTGGTACATGTATAGGTGTCATTTAAGTCATTCTGCCTTTTCCGTTACTTCTTCAAACTACAATAGAAATCAGCATTTCATTCTTCGTCCTTCTTTCTGACTCCAAATCAAGAAAACAAAGTCAGAGCTACCACGCGCCCAGAAACCCGGGGAAAAAAGGAAAATGAAAAATGAAAAAAAGAAGCTAATTACAATTGTAAATCAGCATGGCAGAATAATATGACCTATCATCACAGTTTACAGATGTACATACATATCCTCTTTTACCTCCAGGCACGAGCGGTGAAAATGAAAGCAATTTGGATCTCTAGACCTGCTACAGAAACAGCTGATGGTAATTATGAGAAACACCATGAGCAAAATACATAAAATGAACAAACAAATTCTCGTAGCAGGATTACAAAAGCAGCAAACCTGCACAGCATTTTAAGTACTGATGAACCGTTTGTTCCTTAGTCGCACGACTTTCATTCTCGCAGAACTACATAGAAGCACACTCCCAGAAAAAAAATCAACTAAAAGCACACAACTTCTGACCATTTGAAATCTTGGTTTTTAGTTGGCCAAATATATAAAGGACCCCTTTGAGTTGTCACAATCGATCAGCAAACACTTCCACTTGATATATATGTGTGTCATTTAAACACATGTAGCTGATTGGGCATATGCGTGATAGCTACCAAAATTTTGAGCACGTCAACTCATTTTTTCAGCCTATTTTTGTTTTCTTTGAAAAAGAAATACTCTCTCCGTTTCAATTTACGTAAAACTATTTCTTTTTTGGTCCGTATCAAAAAAAATAACTCATTTTCTTATTTGGAAACAATTTACCTTTATACAATTATCTATAGCCACACAAAATCATTTTACACCACACGCTCAAAAGTTTCTCTCTTTTTTTAAACTCCGTGCCTAGTCAAATGGGTTCACATAAATTGAAATAGAGGGAATATTTTTTTCTCTTGGTCTCTTTTCCACTTTACAGTCACCTCCATTACCGACCACCATTCACTGAAGCTTCATCTACGCCCCTTCAACCACTACCGGCAACAATACCTTCCATCCAATTGAAACACATAAACAACAACCAATTACTTGAATCGGCCAAATAATAATTTTAAGGAAAAAATTACACACAAAAAGAAAACAATAAATTAAAGAAAGAAAAGTGATACAAGTCCAAATTCATAATCAAGAAAATGACAGAGAGAGAGAATTAAAGATTCCAATACAATTGAATCTTTCAAATTTTTCCAGCGAGAGAGGCCACAAGATGAGAATTTTCGGCGAGGTCCGTGGGTAGTTGGGTTATTCGCTTGGCTATTCGATGTTTGTATTAGTTTTAAGAGAAGGTTATAGATTTAATTTTTGAATATGGATAGGATAGGTTTTGGGTAAAAGGTGTGTCAGGAGAAGAAGGTGGGAAATGGAAGGGGTCTGACGGGAAAAACTTAGGTTTGTTTGGTGGATGGATGGTTTTGGAAAAGGGAATGGGGGATCGGGAATTGCAATTGGGTCTGTTTGGGCAGAAGGTGGGTTTGGGTTTTTCTTTTTTAGTTTATTGAATTTCTTTTTAAATTATTGTTTACCATTTTAATTCAGCATTAAACGTGTTATTATCTTATTGGTTCATTTACCACGTAACCGGCGATTGCATTTCACGCATGTGATCTATTGAACGAAGGTGTCCAAATGACACATATATATTCGGTAAAAGTGTCTAGTTGGATATTTGGGAAGTGAAGGTGTTCAGCGTGACAACTTAAAGGGGTCATTCATGTATTTCGCCTTTTTAGTTAATAAAAAAGCTAGCAGTTAAAACCAACATAAACTTAGAAGGAAACAATGTCTTGCTTGGGTGAAAACAAGAAGGAATCAAGGTTAACGTTGACATATCTCAGGACAATACTATGGCAAGTGTCGATTAACTTTACACTTGCTATACTACTTTTGTCAATAATTAGTTACACAGATGTTGATTTAGAGCATAATGAATCATTAAGAAATGATAGAGAATCGAAGAATAACAGTTCAGGGATGTCACAAGAGGCATACACTTTCATAGAGTAATGTCTTTTCCTGCTATGTCCATAAAAAGAAAAGACTACGAGAGTGTTTTGGCTAAGCTTATAAGCTGGTCAAACTGGTTTATAAGCACTTTTTGGCTTATCTACGCGTTTGGTAAAATTAAAAGTGCTTATAATTTAAGTGCTTATAAGCCAAAAATAAGCCAAAAGCCATAAGTTGGTCTCCCCCAACTTATCAAATTTCAGCTTATAAGCACTTTAGGTTTGACTAAAATATTTACTATTCTATCCCTAAAATATTTCTTTTAAATAAAACTCTTCGTATACCCAGTTCTTCAGCTGCTTATTATTAATTTCAACACTTTTATCCAAACACGTAACTGCTTATTTTTTAAATCAGTTTCAGCACTTAAAAGTGTTTTTCAGCACCTATGCTTATCAGCTACTCTAAATCAGCTAAGCCAAACAGACTCTATAACTCTTCTCTGTACATACAAGGAAGTAAGTCTTCCACCATATTCTAGTGCAAAATAAGTGCAACATGCAATTGGAGGATCCATAAACAGAGAGACAGCATATTATAAGACATTATATACAAATAGCTGTATTTGAATTAATTTACTTTTCTCGGCACAAAGACATGCCAATATCAAAGTTATCCTGACAAAACAAATCATGAAGCTTTATAGTAGCAGCAACAAAAGCCATGAATTGTCTTATCTGCGGGGCAGTTGTTGCAGGAGAGGAGCTGCAAATGCAAGCTATCATCTTTTGACTTTTGGAGGCAAAGGATGTATGCATCCAACTGTTGCCCTGGAAAATTCACGCGCTTATGCATAAAACGCTTTGGAAAGAAATGCATACGCTCCCAACAAGACCACCAACGAGATTGGTAATTCAAATCCACAATATGTCAACATTATGAAAAATACATCATACATTTAAGGTACTAACAATCTATGTTGCTCGAACTCTCAGAAAACTTTGCCGGGTGCGTGTCGGATCCTCCAAAAATACTATTTTTGGAGGATCCGACACTGGTGTGACATCATTTTGGAGAGTCCGCAACATAACTAACAATATAAAATAACAATATAAAATTTACATGTCCGCAACTCAGCTCAGCTACATGTTCATCATGGAGCGAGATGCGAAGATTTGTTAACAATGCTTCTTGGTCCCAACTTAAGGGACCGGAAGCATACAATGCCTCCAAAGTAGAGCGATAAGCATGTAACTCCAAACTATGAATACTTGCTGCTATTTTCTCAGGTGAAGAAAGAGAGTGTCTTTCCACCTTATCTGCTGAATTTCGAAAAGACTCTGCATCACTGCAAAGAAGCTCAGTTCCTTGGCAATAAACTTGTACTGGAGAACAGTTAGAAAATTTTCTATCGTTAAGACTACAACTACCAACAGAACAGGCATCGCTATGAGAATCACTAGATTCTGTACTTGTGGAAAGGAAATAGCCAACTGAACCACTTCTTTTGGTTTGCCTCAATGCGCAATATCCATCAGATACATTGTTCAATGAATTACGCACATATTTTTCATCCGTTCTGTTTTCTTTGCACTTAGCACTAACATTCCGTCTCTTAAAAGCTCTCTCGGTTGCCTCTAAATCCTAAATGTTTCTAGAGGTTTCAGTTTTAGTGAGGGCAACATGGGATGCACTATTCAGCAAGCTAATATGAGACTTCCTCAATTCAGTACAATCCCGAGCAGCTAAATGATCATCCCCAACAAATTTAAGAGACAGGACCTTGCTCACTTTTTTAGAAGGTATTACAGCAGAAAGGCGATCAGGTCTCCGACACAGTCCAGATCCCTAAAAGAAGAAACAAACATGTACTCTAGTCAACAAACACAGATCAATTATTTCAACTCGGAGTAACTAAAAAGATGACGACTATGAACAACCAAACAATATAACGAATGAATAAATAAGATAAAGGATAAGTGGAACTCAAAATAGAAAAGGGAAAAATTCTCGAACAATAAATTAAAGCGAAAAAGGGTGAAATAAACCGGGAAGTTCAATTGGGAAAAAAGAGATGAACGCTAACAAAAAGAATCATAATGAAATGAATTGGGAGCATTAGGTTTGCGGAAAGGGAGAGGAAGGGAGACTATAAACTCACCTTCCCAATTAGGTTTAGCACTCTGGTATTTGATCTGTGCACGCAAGGCTCCTTCAGGCATCCAGTCTGACATACCAAATAGTAGTCTCTATCCAGAACCTTAACAATTGTGGCAGTTGATTCGTCAAATACCTCCACAACTCGACCAATTTCCTCATTATCCGAACCCTCCACACATGATCTGATATCCTTCCTCGACACCCTCTCAATCCTCCCCTGCTTTCCATTGTTGTCTCCACCCTATTCTTCCACTTTTCATAGTTACTTACCTGTTTTATTTCTATAGTTTCTAATGATAATACTACTTTTTCGTCTTCTTGAACCGAGAGTCTATTGGAAACAGTATCTCTACCTATGGTAGGGCCGTAGGGGTAAGTGTATGAGTCAAAATCTGACCACACGTGAATTAGCACTAAAAGGAATGGTAAGGGGTCAACCAAGTCGTGGTCGTACTCACAAGTCATAATAACGATGAGTATCTCGGCCACTGCCGAGAGCAATGAAAAGTATAATCAAGAGAGGGTATTCTGGCTAAAGATCGTTGGACAAAGGGGAATATTTATAATATATATATATATATATATATATATATAGAAGGTAAGAAGGCAAGAAAGGGGGACTGACTCCCTGAGGAGAGAGAGGGATTGAAGAACAACAGGAGACCTCCAACAACAAAGCAAAAGATTAGATTTTGGTTGCAAATCTTTGTAATTGTCATTGATGAGTCAATAAAGATAGATCTAATAGTTATCAATGGCATTCCTTCCTTTCCTTCTTTGCTCTTACATTACGGAACAATATATCAAAGATGTAAGCTTATTATTTATGTTTGATGTCTCTTAATAATCTTAAGAAGAACTATATAAGCTCGACGGTATTCGATTCTCGTATTTGATATGCTTTGATCTAGAGTTAATTATCTTTGGCTAAGATTTACCCTTTATTTCATCATTAGTTAGTTTAACAAAAAGCTTAGCACTTTTTGGTCAAACAATTTGCCGCCGTTTGTGGGGATTTCTTAGCCAAAACCTTAATTTCCTTTAGATCTAAAACCAGCCAAAATATCACTTCTTGGCTGTCATAGCCTCACCATCTCGGTACACCAACTCTAAAAAGTGGTAGATAAGTTTTTGAGATAACCAAACCAATCTAGGTCAGATCTCTACATGAAATCGAAATAATATCCGACATCTATGCAAAAACCATGCCTCATCTATAGCGATGGGTTTGGCACGTCATAGGCATGCTCAAAGTAGGATCACAGTCACTACGCACTTAGCATGACCGCAACCCTATTTAACGTATTTACTCTATATACCAGCCTGTACTCCCACCTCTTAGGAAGGGACAATAGCCTACTAAGTGATTCTCTGAAATAACGGGCATATCCTGCCTTATTTTCGTACCCACACGCGCTGTGTGATTTATGAACAAGTATGACATGTTTCCCTTGTTGTTTGTGCATATCGAACGGGATCGGATTGGGACTCGAACTCGAGATCTCAATGGGTGAAGTAAGTCCAGCCCACGAGATGCCTAGATGTGACTAAACGAAGTCAAACACGACTGCCAAATCTGAAACCGCCATTTGAGCACGAGGCGAAGTAAGTAACCCTACAACGCCTTTCCCCATTCGCCGACTTTCCAGGCTAAGGTAACAAGCAATTTCGTTTGGATTTAACTTATCATACTCTCTTTTGGCTCAGAACAGGAACACGAGCATTCTCACAGGTACGCAAACAAGGAAAGAATGCCACCGGACACACCGAAAAAATGTTCTGTACCGTGTCATCTCGCAAGCAACGACAGAGCAAAGCCCTCTGCGCCATACCGTATCATAAATAATAGAAACAACCCAAAATAGGCCGACATTATTAAGAAACAATCTTTGAAACTGGGGACTGAGCAACGGGTCCATGAAACGTATAATCTCCCCAACCGGTAAAGCATGGGCTCGAAAAGCCTAGTGCCTAGTAACCCGAACAATAAGTCCATCATCCGTCTCGCCAACAACCTTTCCGGGCCGAGCAACGAAGGGACCGGGTAAACCCGTACTCCACCGACGCATACAAACTATGCAATGACGCACAATACTCTCCAATGAAAGCAAAATTAAGCAAACCAGACTCACCCCGATGCACACACAAACAACGCGGTAACGAGTAATAATCTCCAACAAAAGTAATGCAACAGACGAATCTCACCATCCCTCCAAACCCGCACATCACCAAAAAAATAGAATCTGATTTCGCTCGAACTCATATCGGTTATAATTCGACCTCGCTCGAGTTAACACCCTTACGACCATCGGCCATTGCCAAATGGGTTACGATTCGATCTCGCTCGAGTTATCACCCTTACGGCCATTGACTATCGCCAAATGGGTTACAGTTCGATCTCGTTCGAATTAACACCTTACGGATATCGGGTATCGTTTGATGGGTTACAACTCAATCTTGCTCAAATTATCACCCTTACGACCATCACCAAATTAAAAGAAAGTCCGACCTCGCTCGAACTTACAACGGGTCAAAATTTGATCTAGCTCAAACTCACACCCTTACGGCTGTTGGCCATCGCCAAATGGAAGTAAAAATTCATCCATTCGAATCAACAACTCAAAGTTCGACCTCGTTCGAATATATAAGTCAAAATTGACTTCGTCCAAGATGGCAACTCAAACTTCGACCTTGTTAGAATATATAAGTCAAAACTTGACTTTGCCAAGTCGGCAACTCAAAGTTCGACCTCGTTCGAATATATAAGTCAAAACTTGACTTTGCCAAGTCGGCAACTCAAAGTTCGACCTCGCTTGAATATATATGGAAAAATTGACTTCGCCCAAATTGGTAAGTCTAAATTCGATCCCACTTGAATATACAAGTCAAAACTGACTTCCCCCAAGCTGGCAAGTCTGAATTCGACCTCGTTCGAATATACAAATCAAGGTTGATTCCGCCCAAGTTGGCAAGTCAGAAGTCAACCTCGCCCAAACTTGCAGAGCCAAAGTGACTTCATTCGAACTCACACAACGAGACCCGACCTCTCTTGGATCAAGAAAACTAAATTCGCACTCATTCGAATTCCCATTTAAACGATCAGGGACTCATCACGGAGAAATTTGAAGATCTTCTCCCCAAGAAAGAAAAAACAAAAAAAAAATTGAGAGAAGCAGAAAGAAAGTCAAAAGATACACAAAAAAGTGAAGCAACTATTTTATTCAAATGTACGTGCGCAATAATCACTCCTTACAAAAAGGCCAAAACGGGCCCTAAAAAATGAAAATGAAAACAAATAACAAAAGGAACAAAAAATTAAATACAAGAGCTGCAACAAAGTTTCACTCAGCGTCATCTCCACCGCCGTTCTCCCCAGAATCATGATCATCAAGAGGAAGCCTATCCTCAATATCAACTCCATCACCAGCCTCTAGTGTCGCAGGGTCGTAACCGCAGGCAGTATAACCCTCGCGTACCTTCCCCCGAGCATCTTCAAAGGCGGCCTCAGCAATGCTCTCCACCTCCCACAAACCCTTCTATATATCACGTTGGGCCTCAGGATGGACCCATAGCTCATACAAACTGGGGAGGGGGGGAACAATAGCCGATGCAGACTCGTGAGGGGGAGCTTGAGCCAATAACTGTGCCTTCTCGGCTTCAAGAGCCGCAACTCGGTCTCCCAAGCTCGAAACATCCCGATTAAGTTCACCAATTCTCTCCTCGAGCCGTGCCTCCCTCAGCGTGGCTGTTGCCCTCTTAGATTCCTGCTCAAACTTGAGGACGCGGATAGTGTCTTCTAGCATGGCCGCCCTAAAGCCAACACTTGAGCACCCTCGGCTGCCTCCAACTCTGCCACTTTCCTTTCCAGCTCGGCAACCTTCTCCGCCCATTTTGCACTAAGCGCGTTGACTCTAGTAGCATTTTGCTCAATTTCAGCCCGTAAAGACAACACCTTCCCCTAAAGGTCCTCGCATTCCGCAGCAACCCCTTTGCCCACCTCGAGCTCCTCGTCTTTGGCATAAAGTAGCTCCTCAAGATCACTGCATCTACGGATAGACCGCATCAGTTCCTCATCTCTTTTCTTTAGCTCCTCCCCGGCAGACTGGGCACTAGCGCCCGTTCTAAGCTGATCGCGTATCTTATGGCACCTATTGCGATACCGCCGATACTTCTCTACCATTTTCAGAAAAATCTCAGCCTGTGTCTTATCCCTACGAGAGCTCTCAATCTCCAGCATGTAAGTCTAAAACAAAGAGAAATGAGAAAGAGTTAGTAAAGACAAAGGCCGCAAAACAAAGAAAACAAAAGTGAACTCACTCTTAGGCCCATTGCGGCCATGCCGCGTGACAACTCAGATTCGCTGACCTCCTGAAGAGATCCGCTTTTAGCGGCGGAGCATAAAAGATCAAACTGTATCACCAAATCCACCGTATCCTGTAATAGGTTGAAATTTGATGGAATTATGAGTATGCGGGAAGGGCCTTCCGCCCTTACCTCAATCCTGGTGAATCCCTCCTCGAACATCCTTATGTCCTCAGAGTCAATGTCGGATTCAGATTCATAATCTTTAACCATGACGCCTTTTCCTTTCTCATCTGCTCGGAACAACTAACCTCAAACTCTGTCCCTCCGTCACAATAGCCTCTTGAATGCTTGCAACGGGTATCGTTTCCGTGCCTAGGGTGGCACCACCGCCAGTTTCGGGAGCCATCAGAACAAGGTCGCCCCTCGAGGGCATTTCGGCTAAAGAAGCCCCTTCCAACACTACCCTTCGCCTCTTCGACGGGGCTTCTCTACTATCGAGGATTGCGCCCAAGCTTCTCATGGAAAGGCGCCCACTCACGAATCCCCATCATGTGGGGGAGAATTGCGCTCACCCACTCGCAGATATCGACAAATAGCGGGGGAGGCATTCTCTCGTATGCAAAAGAAAAAACAAATCCTCAGCGAAGTCATCAAAGAAAGACAACTGATGACCGTCTTAAGAAAAATTGCATAAAGTAAATAGAGAAAAACTCACGAGTGAAATTCCATGTCTCAGAAAATCATGCTAGGTTCGACACGACGTGATCTATTCGGATATAGAAGTAGCTCTCCCAAAAGCGGCGATTGGACTTATCGTCCATCTTCACCACCAAACTCTTGGTTCCTCGATGACACATATGAATCACCGTACCCCGAAGAAAATAAGGGGCGAAGAGGTGGAGCATGTGCCCTAGAGAAATTCCTCGGTCGGCCAGCTCCGTATACTTGATGAGCATGAGGAAGAGTTTGTATGCATACGGAGAGAGTTGAGCTGGACACACCTCACAGAAGCAGCAAAAATCCGCCACCAGGGAAGCAAGGGGAAGCGTGTACCCAATAATAAAGAGATATGCATAAAATGTGCAGTAGCTCGGGCGATGTAAGTGCACTATGTACTGATTCGCCAGCACCATTTCAATCTGATCGGGGATTCCCCACTTGGATTTGAGCGCCATAATCGCCGCAGCATCCATCGTGGAAAGAATGTGCGTTGGTTCATCTCCGGCAGGGCTGTTAAAATCAGTCCTCGTCTTTCCCAGGCGGGGAACCACCTTATCCACCATGGGAAACCCCTCGTCTTTTACCACATCCACTCCCTCTTCGAGTAGGGATACGTCATTTTCCAGTACTGGAGCACCTACAACTTTATCAAAATGGGAAGAAGCACTGGCCATTTGTTTTCTTTGATCGAAAGAAACGAAAATGATAAAGGAAAAAGATAATGGTCACAGCGAATCCTAGAAGAAGCAGAAGTATGAGAGACTAGAGAAGTAGGAGAAAGTTTTCAAAGTTCTTTCTTAAACAATTGAAAACCGTAACATTCAAATGAGAGGCTCCCCTATTTATACAAACATAAATGCCCTGAGCGGGAAAACTGTAACGACCCGACTGGTTGCTTTGAGCTTTTGCATTTTACCCACCAGTTCTCGGGCATGACTTGCCCCGTGTGGTATATTATGACTTAAATAAATCATTTGTATTGGGTTTCAGGTTAATCAGAATGAATTTGGAAGAACAGTCTCAGTTGAAAGCTTAAAATTTGAAAGGGTTGACCAAAATTTGACTTATGTGTATTTGATCTCGGATTGGAATTTTTATGATTTGGTTAGCTCCGTTAGGTGATTTGGGACTTAGGAGCGTGATCGGAATGCATTTTAGAAGTCCGTGGAAGGTTTAGGCTTGGATTGGCGAAATTGAGATTTCGGCACTTTCCGGTCGATAGGTGAGATTTTGATATAGGGGTCGGAATGGAATTCCGAGAGTTCCAGTAGTTTTTTGTGCCATTTGGAATGTGCGTGCAAAAGTTTAGGTCATTCGGACGAGATTTGATAGACTTTTTGATCGAAAGCATAATTTAAGAGTTCTTGGAGTTCTTAGGCTTGAATCCGAAGTTGATTTTGTGTTTTGATGTTGTTCGGAGTGATTCGAAAACTCAATTAGGTGTTAATGATGTTATGGGAGGTGTTGGTATGTTTCGGTTGAGGTCTGATGGCTCCGGGTGTGTTTCAGGTGAGTTTTGAGCGAGTACGGACATTTCGGAACTTAGAAAATGGATGGGGGTAAAATTGTTAGCGCTGGCCGTGGTTGAATTAGCGGTGGGCGCGCTGGCTTAGTGCTGGGCGCGTAAAAGTGACCGCGGCCGTGGTCATGAAGATCTGCAGATCATCGGTCCAACTTCGGAAGCTCATATCTTTTGATCCACAGGGAAATTTGAGATGATTCAATAACGAAAGTTGTAGCCCTTCGTGTCTAGTTTCCAGAAAGATAAAGATATCGCAATTTGGTCATCTGTAGCAAAAGTTATA